TTCAAATCCAAACTGAAGAATGGAAAATTCAAGGTTATCTGTTCGGGCTGAATTTTATTTTTCAGTCTTAGGAGGCTTTTGTCAGAGATTAATTGGGTTAAAAATCCTCAGCAGAGACAAAAATGGTGGTCACAAAAATAGCCCGGGAGAAACCTTGGGATGCGGAGATTCAAAGTCACGTCTAAGAGCCAGCGATATTTTACTCTATTATAGATCTTAAAATTAGCTTTCTTGAAAGATCCATTAAAAAGGAACACCAACTTATCTGCAAAATTCCCCAGAGAGGAGGACTTTTATTTAGAATCTCTTTCTGAGAGTAAAATTTAGAGCAAAGAAGGAGACCTTTAGAGTATTTTGAGGTCAGTATTGGAAATGAGCTAAGGTTTTCATTGCAAACTTGATATAATTTTCAAAAGAATTTTTTTGGTTCGACAGGATAAAAACACAAAGGCTTCACTGTCACCCTGTGGGCTCCACGTCGCTGAGCCGCAAGCTTGCTGAAGGCGTTGTTTCTGGTGATTTCACGTTAAAAATGTTTGCATTTCCAAGAAGCTGCTCTTGAATACGTTTCAGCAATTTTGTCCTGAACCCATCTCTAAAACTGTGTGTGCCAAACGTGGCGGGGGACCTGGGCGTATGGTCAGAGCTCACACACAGAGCAGGAGCGGCAGCCCCCCAGGACTGGAGCTTCGGGGCACGTGGCGCACGTCGGGAACGTTAGCATCATCGTGTGCTCCACCTATATCTAGGCTTTTCTCCCAGGCAACTACGTCATCCTGAAAGATCACTCAGTCTCTCGGAGTTCGGTTTCTCTGTATAAATGGGAATAATAACACCTGCCCTGCAGGTTTCTGTAAGGATTAGACGTTAAAATACAGTTTAAGAGCTAGGACTGTAACTGCCGCATAGTAGCTGCTCAATAAATGTTAATTTATTTCCCTTTTAGTCATCGTGTCCTGAAGATAGAGAAAATAGGGCCTTCTGGACTGAGAAGCCTTAGGGTTGATTTAAGGAAATGAGAGAGAGAGAGGCTTCCCCATTTCCGAGAGGCTAGGAGTTGTTGGGTTCACGAATAATACCATTTATTATGCCTCGGATTTCACAAAATCTTTCATGTGCTACCTCTAACTTGAGCTTCGCAATAAATCTGAGAGGAAAGGCTCGTCAGCCCCAGAGTAAAGGTGTGAATGTGAGAAGCCATAAAGATCGTCCAGGGAAAGACGGCTTCAGCCCTGGGGCCGCTCCCGTGCCCTCCGCCCTTGCCAGCCCCGCCGCGTGTCTGTGAGGTGTGCGCGGCCAGATCCGTCCCCAGCTGCGGTCCCTCCGGAGTCCGACCACGCTGTGCCTGTCACACCCGTGGCACGCTGGGACCGCGCAGCCTGTGTCGTACTTCTGCGTGGCTGTCCGTCTGCCACGGTGCTGCTCCCGCCCTGACCTCACAGAACTCACCTGGCTTGCGGTCGGTGTCCTGCAACTGTTTCTGTTTCTGTTTCTGTCTCTTGAAAGAGAAACCTATTTATATAGGTATTTAATTTATGAAATAAAGCCTCCCGTTTCAGTGAAAAGGAGTGGCTGATTCAGCTTCGTACGCTTTATAGCTGTCCGCCTTATGCACACATTTTTGTGCACCACAGAAAGCGCTCCTTTCTTGCATTGCGGACAGAACGCGGAGAAGCGGGAAAGTCTGTTTTGACCTGGGGCCTCGGGGGGCGGAGCGGCCCCTGGCTCCGCGCGGGTTTCTTTCGTGGGAAGTTTTAAGAAACATCGTGTTGGGGAGGGAAACGGAGCGCGGATTCTGCGCTTACCTTGAGCTCCTCGGTCTCTATGAAGCCGCTGTGGTCGGTGTCGTACTTTCGCCAAGTCTGTGGTGACCGTGGGGAGGAAAAGCAGCGGGTTAGGGACGCGGCGGCCCCGGCGGCGCGCGCAGCCGGCCCGCGGCCCCGGCACCTTCATGAACTCCTCGCAGGACCCGAGCTG